CTTCTAGATACATAAACTAATTTGCCTATGAAACTCTTTCACTGTATCGTTCTCTGTATTTAACACACACCGACATGTGCACACACAACACAGTTCAGTGAAAATAAATCAAGAATAAACAGGTTCTTCCCATCTATTGGCCACCATTTGGATAGTGGGATACATTTTTCCACTTTTCAACTTGGTATCTGACAAAGGATGATATGTTTGTGTTAGTCCCCAAGCTACGTTTACTGATAGTTTTAAAGTTTATGTTACAGCCCTTCTTTTATGTTTTAACTTTGGGTCAAACAGTGAGTACTTTCAACAATTTAATATAGGGAAAAGCAAACCGTTTTGGTAAAAAAATTTAATGTATACATTACTGCGAAATGAGTTTGAAAAACATTCTATTTTGAACTGCGTATGCTCCCAGTGATCCCCTTTACCACCCAGCATCGCCCTCCTTTGTCAGAATTACAAATACATCTTCCCTTTCAGAAAGCACCACTGTAATTAAAGCTACGAGTCAAAAATCACTCCACGGGCTACTCAGTTTTACACAGCAAGCTGGAATTTTCCCTATGGGATTTTAATAAATTACTTTTTTTCCACTCTAGAATACAAAGAACATGACATACAATAAAAGGCTCATATATATTGTGAGGATCACCTCATATCACAAAGTACCATCCGATGCTGCAGCTTAAAAATGTGGGCTCAGTAGAGAAGCCTTATGTTTTAGGAATCACTTTGATGGGGAGAGTAACAGCTTGAGATGCTCTATCCACAAGCACAGGCCAAAGCCCTTGTCTGTTAGGCAAAGGTGGGTAGACTGCATTAGACCTTCCCAGAGGAAAAAAAAAAGAAAGAAAAAAAAAAAGAATATTGATACTCTGACCCCTTCCAGATCTTTCTAATTTATTGTGGCTTTGTTCACATTTCATACTTGTTATCACCATTTTGACTAAAACAGTGGATCAATTCTGTAAAGCCAAAATTCAGTTCAGTAAAATATTAGTATAAAAGCATTAAAATATTTTTTTATTATAAAAATGCTCAAATCAGTCAAAACACTACACTGGGTATATATACAGAGATGCTGAATTATAAGACAGTCAAGAGCAAGAAGATTTAGTCAGATTGTCATCAAAAGTAATTTTTGTAGCTACAGAGCTAGGTCTCTTGAATGCAAAATGGTTAAGAGAATTATACACAGTATGTTTGAGACTTCCACATCTAAGTATTTTCAATGAGAGAATCTCAAAATTAGAGGAAAAATAAGTGTCATATAATTTGGATATTTCTTGTACAATAGAGAATCAGCCACTGATATTCTTATTTTGGAATCCTTTATCAGACTTTCTTTTATTGTTTCATATAGTAATAGACATCACACTATTTTTCATGACTTTGACACTTATTTCTGGAGCTGTTTCCTAAAATATCTTATATTTAGGTACACCTTCCATAACCACTTTTAAATCAAACTGCTGAGATATAGAATCTATTTGTGTTGTCTTAATAATTCAATGTACTTTTTAATATCAAGAGTATAAAAAATTATAGTATATATCATATAATCAAAATAGTCTTCCCCAATGGTTTCATTTCATAATGGAGTCATTCATTTTCTGTAAATATTTTACCCCACATTTAACAATCTTTATTAATCTTTAGTAACAAAATTACTTTATCATTAAAGGAGTTTAACACATTAATTGGGGGAAAGAAAACCTCAAAATATTATTTTTTAAGCAAAGTGAACAAATTTTTTAAATTTCCACTTTTTTCTCTTAATACTGCTCAAAACTTTGTTTTTCATTTTTGATTAAAATGAAAGTGACAATTAAATGTTTTTCTTTCACAATGGGGATACTACTGTGCACAGACGGTACACGGTTTTATAGAAAATGATTTGTCTTTCTAGAATCATTCTTGGAGATAAACACAGTTATTGATCTATTGATATCACTTAATTCTGATGGAACAATATAAGGAGATGAATTTGCTAGACTGTATCAGTCATGAGGAAGTAAATATTTTTCATATGATGGACATAAATATTTTCATATTAAATACTGAATTTCATCCCTCCCTTTGCCAGCTATAATGTGCAGAATTTATTGGTCTATATTCATAATCAATTGTTTTTGCCTTAATAACCAAGTATATAAAGTTACATGCAATATATGGTATATTCTCAACTTAAGTGACTATAGTTTTAATATTTTTATATTCAGGGAACTGATCAGTGGAAGTACACGTTTAAGGAAAATTTAACTTTAAATATAAAGAACTTCCAGGTTTGTGTATATATCATGAGATCTAGTTGTCGAGGGGCAGAAAGGAAAAGAGCTAGTTAACTACTGGCCAAATCAGATAGAAGGAAGAAAATCAAAGTAATTCCAGGTATCATGAATGGAGGGGTGGGAGGAAAGTGATGATGCAAAGAGTAATTCTAAGTTTAAGCAAATTCTCGCAATTTTTTTTAGATTTTAAAATAACCTCCAAGACAGCAGAAATGTTTCATGGTTTGTATTTTATTTTTAATTTAGATCTTATTTTGTAGTAGAATGCAATGGGGAGGCTTATATAGTCTATTGACATCACTCTTGAATTTACAAAAACCATTTTTTATTGTGAAGCAGAGATGCAAGAAAAATATTGGCAACAAGGGCAATAGTCCTGGACCATCATTTTCTGACCTGGTGCTTAGAATTATTTTTGTTATTCTTTGGGTGTCAATATATACTATTTAGGTCTTATTTTTCATATGGTTATTATTTAAATATTTTATTTGGTATATTCCTACTATATCAATTATTATCCACCTATCATATTAATAATGAAATATTGATGTACATTCATCATTGAAATAACATGACAAGGTTAGGTCATAAGAGCTTCCAATTTTCAGTTGTCCATCTCCTGCCAAGGGAGCCCTCTGCCTGCAGTCCTGCCATTCTCCAATAACCCTGTTTCTGAAGACACTTGAGCTTTCTATACCTACCAACAAAATTCTGGTGCTGGCAAGAACAGAACTTAACAGCAAACCATCCCAGTTTCAGGACAAAGTCTATCTCTTTTCTGACCGTTGTCCTGCACTCCAATGTGTTTATTTTTTTCCTTGA